TTATATCAAAGAATTTTTTAAATGTGTTAATGATTGCATATAAAGTTTTCATTTATACTTTATGATAAAAGGGCACTATTTCTTTATTCTGTTTATAAATTTAATCTATATTCTTTTACGATCCTTAGTATTTATTTTCATTACTTTATATTTTTCTTAAATTATTAGTATAAATCTCAAATTATATCAGCATAGCCACTCTCTTTTTGATATTAAGATATTGAACTCTCTTCAATATTTATAATATTTATAAATTCAATCCATATAATTGAATATTTATTTTATTTGTTATAGAGATAGATTTAACATCTAATTTTCAAAAATAATTTACATTACTAAATCATTATCTAAAATTGGTATTTATATTTATAGTAAATATGAATATAGACAATATATTAAAATTTGTGTGCCAAATGACTGCCGGATTAAATCAGACTACTTTACTACTATAATTTTAAATTAAATTCTAAATAATTTGGTACTAGATGATGTAAGTAACCAAGGTTGGTTATATCAAAATCAAATATTTCTGGAAGGAAAGATTGGGAAGGAGGTCCAGTCCAGGTAACATAAATGGCAACTAGGTGACAATGCAACCACACAGTAAGATGATGTGGGTTTGATTCCAACTCCAGGCTGATTCTTTTCTCCCAGAATATTATAAATTATTTATTAAGTATTAATTTAATTATAATTATTAAATTTAATAAGAGATGACATTTAATGTCTACCTCTGGTACCAAATTATTTAGAATTTAATTAAAACTAATAGTGGTAAAGTAGCCTGATTTAATCCAATCATTTGGTATATTACTAAAATATTGGGTTTCAGGACGTTTATATTAAAGTTTATAAATAATATATGTTTAATAATTAGTTTTATTATTCAGGATGATTCAATAATACAAAACAACCAAATTTAAAAAGTCAGTATTGTCAGTATATGTATTAAATTATCAGCTAATTCTTTTCTCAAGACTCTGCAGTATTTTTGTATATATTTTTATGTATATGTAGTACATTGAATTGTCATGATGTAATGGATATATTAAAAAGTATGATGCCAACTGTTGCTGATTATGTGTGAGCTAATATAACTATGTGCCAAAAATAAGAGATCTGAATAGTCTTGGATGAATAAGTTGTAAAATATTTTAAAAATTCTATTTTGGAGAAAATTATACTAATGGCATTTAACATCAATTGTTAAGCAGTGGAATTAACAAATATTTATATTAGTCTTTTTATAAAGTATATGAATTCAAAATATTCCAAAAGTTACATTTTTAAATAAAAACTTTACTCATTCACTTTTTTCTCCTCTCTTTCTCTTTCTGAAAACTTTCAATTATGAAAATAATAGTATATTAGATAATAATTGATGTAATAGGTAATTTGTTTGAGATAGAACAACAAACATATAAGTAACTAAATGTCAATTCTGTAATCAAAGGAATAGGAACTGAAAGTATCAAGTATTATTTGCATGTTAATTGGTAATATATTTACTCTAATAATAAAGTCTATTATAATGTTGAATGAATATTATGACTCTCAAATTAAATAAAATTATATATTTATTAATCAGAATATTTATTAATTTATTTATTAATCAGAACAGTTGGCATCATACTTTTTATTATTAAATATAATATTTCCCAAAATGGAGTTGATGTGCTGAATCTTGTGTGTATCACTCTGCCACCATAGAAAAGCAATTCAAGCATTATTTTTTGAAGAATTTTTTAAAATTATAATGTTTGCATTTTTGTAAAAACTTCAAAAATTCAAATATCATGTAATTTTTTTTATAATAAAGTTTTTGCAAAAATATCAGAAACTTCATGTAGATTATAATAGTTTAAACATGTAATTTTCTAATATACCATATTTACTCGCAAATAAGATAAGGTTTTTATCCATTTGTCACTATTTCATAAACCTAGGTCATCTGATACGCACGAGCGAAGGATTCTTTTCATTTTTGTATAACTTTTGTAAACTATGTATTTGCATATTTTACTGGATTCTCACCTTCTGGTGTTTAAAAACAAAAGTATTTTATCTGGGTCATTTGAATCATTCTTGTGTATTGCCAGGAGTAAAGATGAATAGCAATAGGAAAAGCAAAGCTTTTGAATTGAATTCCGAAATTACACGGGAGCCTGATATAAGTTTTAATCCATTCCCGTGTGAAAACAGATGATTAATGGAAATTCGAAGAAACTCATAAGTGTAATCGACGAAGAGTGAATTCAACTGTTAAGAATTGGCAAAAAAAGTTTCCAATTATCCAGCTTTACTGAACAAATTATGTTGATTTTACAAGATTTTTCCTTGAAGTTTAAGATGCCAGTGATTTTTGCGGGACAATGTGTGCATTTACGTGCACTTGATATTTTATTTGTTATTAAACAAAATAAAATTAGAATTGTATTAATAAATCTAATTTTCTTTATTTTGACCTTTAAAGTCACACCTCATCCTATATATGAGATCATCTTATATTCGAGTAAGTATGGTATGTTCTATTACTTTCTACTTCATAATAAACATGGAACAATTTTCCTTTGAATAAGTAAACTAGTGATATCATTCCAAGGCATAAGACTGTCTTTAAACAAATTGAAAATTAAGATGTACTGTACACTTGTTATCATACCTGATAACAAGTGTACAGTACCTTTATTGATACCACCTAATATTTAGCATTAAAAATGTTTTATAATTAATTATAGAATGTTTTTTTTATGATAGATATTGGACAGCATTGAGAAAGTATACTAGTTAATTTAAATATGATACCATGTGCACAATTTGATTTTCACTTTGGAGATAAAACCTATTGCTTTTTGGATTATAGAATGAACATAAGCTCTATTCTTATTCTGGGAAAGACTTAATAAATGCTTAAGAATTTTCTCATTGTAATATTTCTTAATGGTTAATAATAATAAAATTTTTCTTTGTGATTCTATATAATTATAAAATGATATATCAATTTTACTTATATTTAAAGTTCATAAAAGCCAATAATTTAATTATATTGATTGAAAAATTTAGTCAAGTTGCAAAATGATGAGTTTGAGACCTAAGTTTTTTTTTATGCTTTTCTCTATATCAAAAATTTAAATTATTTTATTGGTGAAGTTTATTTTCATTTGAATCAGTCAATTTCAAATTATTTTCTATATTAAAATTACATTATATGTAGTCACTCAAAAAATTTTTATATGGATGCTTATAAAATTAGTAAAAGTATTACCATGTTAAAGGATTACAGAATATATCACACATTTTAAAATATTATTTCCAGAAGTACAACTCCTAAATGAAAGTATTAAACCATCCCAATTGAAATGTAACACACATTTTTAAGCTCAAATTCACTAGGTGAGAACAAGCAGAAATAAATATAATACACATTTATTCATTAATGTCTATAGAGATTTATTCAATATTTTAATACATTGCTTGTTGCATGTTTCATTACAAAAAAAATATAATAAAATAAAAAGCAAATCAAAGACAAAATTATTAGATTCTCCTAAGGTAAAGACAATTATTAAACCATTTTGTCTAAAATCTGGTTGAACCTTCTTTTGCTTTCAAAACAGCCTTGATTTGTACTGGCATTTGTTGAATTAAATGTTGGCACATCTCAGGAGATATTTCAGACCAGGATTGTTGAATTGCATCTTTCAATTGCTCTTTAGTACAGGGGGCAGTTNAGATTACCAAAAGTGTCCGGATTACCGAAAATAATTACATATTTCGAATTGTTTTGCTAGCAGTAACTTACAATATTCTCTACTCCAACTGTTTGAACAGAACTGCTCACATAAAACACACGAAATGTGTGTCATTGAGTAAGAATTGGATGGGGAGATTCACATCGCGACATGCTTCTGTGCGAGCAGACACGTAACGGGGACGGGTACCTTGATGGGAGGTGCGTCGGACTACGGAGCATGTCGGATTAAAAAACGTCGGACTATCGAGGGACAACTGTACTATGCAATTGTTCAATGATTTATGAATTTTTGGCATGAATTTATGTATTTACCTAAATAAATATCAAATTAACTGAAAGAATTTTGATAAAATTTGCCAAGAGGTTTTTTGTATTATAAAATTTATATTTTAAAAATATATTAATACTAGATTACTAAAATTCAGAAAATTAAATTAATTTTTAAAGATATTTTATATAAAAGTGATTTTTAATATGTTAAATGAATCAAATGATATATCATTTTAAAATTTTAAAAATTACTTCTGTGTAAACATTTTTACTTTTTACTAATTGGTCTAGATTCAACCAATCCTGTCGCGACACGAGTCGGCGATGACATTTTTCCGAATTATACAAGTTTTTTTAGCATGTTTGTATGAATACTGTCGCAATTTTTTCTCCGTGATATAGGAATCCAAACTATAGAAACCCATGTTATAGGGGGGTTGACTGTACTCCCATTTAATCATTTGGCATTGAATATAATAAAAAATTAAAATTTTAATAAGTTTCATTATATTTAAAGAGTGAGTCACCTAATATTAGTGATCATTGTCAGAACAAACCTGTAACATAAATTTTATGAGTGATCAAGGTTATTCTTGATTCAGGTTTATATTATATTTTTGTTTTGTATGATCTTATTACTAATAATAGATAGTTAACATCAAAATATTGCAATTTTGAGAGCTGAGTAAAAAGTGTAAAATTGTCAACTGCTGTTTTAATAAAGTAAATTCTCAATTCTATAAAATTTTTTATCCATAAACATAAGTTTTAAACTTAAATGTTACTATTATCTTAAATATTCATTTGGAACAAATTATTGCAAAATAAATTTAATACTTGCTATGTATAAATTTTATGTATAGTGTAAAAGCACAAACTAGTTACAAAAATAAGCATTATAAGAAATACAAAAAGTTACAAGAATTATATTGTAATTAATTTAAATAATAATTTCTGTTTTTTTTTATATTTTTAGACAAGTCACGAGAGTCATACTTGGCAGCGATGTGCATCTGCTGTCATTCCCGATTCTATGCAGCCAGTTGTTTCTGCATGCCAAAATATCACATCCTCTGTTTCTACTGTTGCAGTGACTTCAGTAGCACCAGTAATATCATCAGTTGCTGTGACTACTACTCCCTCATCATGTCATCATCACCAAATAGTCAATTTCAGAGCAAATGAAATTATTAATCAAGGTTTGTAATTTTGTTTAATAATTAAAGTGAGCTTTATTTTTCCGAGACCATGATTATTTATTTATATTAAATAATAATTATATTTTTCTAATCCTATTTATCCTTTTTAAAATATAATTCTGCAAACTAGTTAGAAAGGAAATGGTTATAATTAGTGTTGCAACAAATAGTATATTCTGCCTCAGGCCGAATACCGAATATTCGGCCAGGAGCATGGCCGAATAGCTGAATATTTGGCTAAACTATTCGGCTTGATTAACGCACGTACGAAAATTGGCGCTCAAACCGCAAGGACCCTGCTTTCTATTGGCCCACTGTCACTACGCTTCGCCAATCGCATTAATCCTTGACAGTTCAGATAAGAGCGTCATGGCAGTATGTGATAAGTGATGATATCAAATGTGGATAACAATGAAATGACCTACACGTGTAAATAACGGAAAAAGAATAGAGAAGGACCACAAAGTGAAAATGTGAAAATAAATATGAAATTGTAATAAATATGAAAATATGAAATTGAGTTGATAACATAATCGAACAAGTCGATTATGTTATCAACTCAATAAGCTGCCTTGAACAAGTCGAGGCAGCTTATTGGCATGAAATTCATGGCCGTGAATGCCATTGTCATAGACTTCGAAAAGCTAAATTCTTGTAATGAAAGTCACTTAGCGTGCACGGGCAAAAGCCTGTGGTCATTTGGGCTACCAAGCTGTTTCAAATCTGTGAAATCATAACTGTGACTTATACCGATGTCCTATCTGTCTCTTTTATCCATTATCACCAGGCTATGAGTCATGTAATTGTAAAATGGGAAATCTACGACGGAAAAGTCACGAATCGAAAGTATCATGAGGGCGTATTATGATGTATGCATAGGCATGCGTGGACTAGAGCAATAGAGGAAAGAGAAAGGGAAGAGCAAAGACGAGCGCTTAAAAAGAAGGATAGGCAGGGTCAAACCGTCAGATGTGCGACGATTCTCGAATGAATAGGTTGTATACGTGTGCTGATCTTTGTAATTATAAATTGTGAATACAAGTGACTAATATTACGTTCTTTTTTATGTTGTGCATGTTATAAGTTATAAATAAATATAAACAAACAACACTAACCCGATAACATTAAATCTAAATACCAAAATGATTCATTTACTGTGTTTTTGTATTTATTACTCCTGTTATTAGGTATTCGGTATTCGGCTGAATAGTGATTAAATATTTGGTACAGCTGAATACCAAAATATTCCGAATAGTAACCGAATATTCGTTACATCACTAGTTATAATGTACTGTACATTATTCTTTTTCAAAATGAAATAAATTTGATTTAAATATTATTATTGTAATCTCACTTATATTAAATTTTTTCTTTAATATTAAATTAATATTAATCATTTCAAGCACACACTTTCATTGCAACAGTATATAGAATTTAGAAGTATTTTTTTTTATGTAGAATTTAGTACCATAAACTTTTTCTATACAGATCTAAATAATAATTTTTTGTATTCTTTGTTATTTATCTTTAATTGAAATCATTTCAAATATTTATGAGCATGAAGTTCATAACTTCTTACATGTAAGATTATTCAAATTCCTAAGAGAACTAGGGAAATATTTTAAAATGTTTTGTGCTCCAGGGAGATTCTGAAATTGCAATACTTCAAACTATAGAAAGAAGGTTAAATATTGAGTTACTATTATACAGATCATTTCATTAAAGAAGTTCTAGGATATATTTTGTAATAATGGTATTTTTCACATTTGAGTAAATTTTACAGGATAAGAAAAAACAATCTATTTATTACTGTAATTTTTTAATTTATGTTTTTCTAGATAAATTAAATTCTTTGCCCGTAAAAATTACTTTTTTTTTTTGTGTGTCACTAATCTAAATATAGTAATGTTAAATCTGTAAAACAAAAAAAATTTTGTTTTCTTAAAAAATGAATAAAGTTTATTTGTCTCCATTCTATTTTTGTTGAATGCTAAACATCTTATTTAAAAACATGACTTCTTTTGGACAGAAATTAGTTGTATATAGTTAATGTTTTCTTATCATTTCATTTATTCCTTATATAAATGTTTATTTGTATATAAGCTCAGTTTTTGTTGCGTGTGAAGGTATTTTCTGTAAGGGATATTTTAGATAATATATAGAAATCAGTTCAAGACGAACAGATTGTTTTTGAAATGGTTTTAGTGTATGTATTGGTTTTAGATACTTTTACATTGTTCTTAATTAAAATACTTTTATCACAGACAAAAATTAATTTGTCTATATGTATTTTAAATATGTGAATCAACAATTATAGCTGTGGCTGGTTTTTTATTTTGAAGGTTTAATTTGAATATAGAGATACTTAAGTTATCTTTTTTAAAATATTAGAAAAACATATTATGGAAACAACTTGAAGTAGATGAATAGTTTTCAGTCACAACTTTTGTAAAATTTCTTAACATAAACAGGTTCATAAACAGGTTAAAAGCCATTTTGAAATTTTATTGAAATGTATCGATTTATATTAGTAATGCACAGATTAATTAATTAATAGACAATCAATAATCAGCCAAATAAACTCCTTGGTCAATTAATCAGCCAAAAAGTTACTAGTTATCATTTATTATTATTATTAATCATTCTATTAAATTTAAATTGAGGAGAATTACAAAAAAGAGAGACTCCACTTGTCTGTTCATTCCATTATATTGATAATTACAATAACTTATGAATTGTTTAGTCCCATTGATGATCTATAAAGTAAATCAAAAATGTTAAATTTAAATATTATATTGATGTAATATTCAGAATATTTAAATTTAAATATGATAATGATGATAAATAAACATAGTTTAAACTGTGCTGTTTATCTTTTTTTTTTTTTTTCAATCTTCAACTTAACAATTTTGAATATGTAACAAAAATCATTTTCTGATTAAATTTTTTTTCAGTGTATTAATAATTTTTAACATTTATTAATGGCCAGTTTAATAAATTTATACATTAAATAAATTTAGCAGATTACACTATAGTCAATATTTGTTATTAAATGACAATGTTCTATTTTCTCTGTTAATCAAAGTTTTTTCGATCCTTGTGTTTGAATGAGCCACAGCTGCTGATNAATTCTTCCTTTAAAATATTATTGTTAATACATGAAAATATAAATATCTAATAAACTATGCATTGGTTTAGAAGTCAACAAAACCTTAGAAAAATAGTATGATTAAAAATGATTTTTTAACATTAAAATTTTGTTGGTGTTCTAATTAATTTTGTTATCAAAATTTAAAATGGTACAAAATTTCATTCATTCAAGTATATGGAAGCCAAGTATTAATAATGTATTTTTCAGAATAAATGAAAGATTTGGTGTGTGAAAAATGATAAAAATTGATTATAAATAGACATACATGTATGTATACACATGTTTATTCATTCAGATGCATATTTGGTATTTAGATAGAGAGTTATTAATTCATACATATTGACAAAATTTTTATGCATCCACATGTTATAATAAATTTCACAGAAATCTCTAATTTTTAATATTTACATTAAAGTTAAAAGTGATTACTTGAACTATTTTATATTTAACAAACAAGGAAATCTCATTATTCTCACATGAGTTGGTGTAATATATTTATTCTGCATTCATTTACAATGACGATTCATTTATCTATAGTTTTTATGTTACTCAACAAGACGCCACTTAGACTAAAAAATACTGTAACGTAGTTGTACTACCTTCGCCCACATGTATTCTGGTTTAGTTTTCAGACTTGGTAGGTGTCATTGAAGACTTATTATATTTTATCATTGTAACAAAGTGTTAAGCCTGTCTGCATATAGTTGAAATAATTGAAAAATATAATTTGTTTAATATAAATGCAGACAATTTAAAAACACACTTTATAAAAGTTACTTATGTTAAGCATGATATTGTTTTCTTTATAAGGGAAATTATGAAGGAGGAAATGATATTACATTTTATTGTCATAATTATTTTCAAATATTTATGGTATTATTAATGCTATAAAGTCCTTGAAAAATTTTGTATGCCTGAAATTCTTGTTTTGAAATTAAGAATTAAAAAGTCTATTTATTAAAGATAATAATTAAAATATTACTAAAAAGAAATTACTTTAAAGGTAAAAGATATGAAATCAGAAGACAGTGATGGAACAATGATGTCATCTGACTTATAAAATTTGTATACTTTGAGCAGGAAGTGATATAACATGTATTGAAACTGGATCAGGTTTTATTAGTTTATTTTGAAATTCAACTTTACAGTAATTATATCAAAGTTTCAAATTATTATTCTAAAGTTTTATACATATTTAAGCAATAAATTTACCATAGCAATTGCTTGCAGCTTAAAATATTTGACAAAAGATTTATTGGTTTATTTGTAATAAATAGAAATAATATGTAAGTGTAGTAGACTTCAATTATTATCACTTGCATTTTAAAATTTTAAGATTATCTTCATCAGTTGTTAATAAAATGATATCAGTTTTAAATAAGTCACTTAAAAACTTTTTTTACAGTGATTTTAATTTAAATATATTTAATTTAGCTTATCTATATGACTTTCATAATATAAAATTATTAGTTTTATATGCTTGTGTGTACATTCTTTGAAATGTGTTGTACATTAGAATGAATAAATCTACAAAATTACAAATAAGTGACAAAATCTAAAGATTCTTCAGTTTAATTATTGAAAAGACAATAATTTTGTTGTATGAATTAATTTATATTTAAAATTTTTTACACCTGTTTTCCATGTTATCACATCGAAATTAAATATCAAACTTTTTTATAAATGGTTTCATGCTTAGATTATTTATACGTTTAACAAACTTTGTAAAAATCTAAAGATTAGGACAGACATCTTATTGATTTTTGATGAATTTTGAATTGACGAATAGAAATAGTTTATGATGAGATAATATTATTATTGTGATAGATAGTGCGTGTCAATTTTTAAT